CACTGTAGTAGGCCAAACTTCACAATAAATGCTTGTCAAATTATGTGCCGCCTGGGCGGAAATAGTAAACAAACCCTTTTTACAGGTACTGGTTAATTCAACCCAAAAATTATTCGTATGATAAGCATCACAAGTAGCATTCTGAAAGAATTTAACAAATTTCTATTTTTAGTAACCACGGCAACACCATTCATCGAAATCAAAAACCGATACACAGAATTTTGTATCTTAGTGTAGTCTACTTGTGTGCCAAGTTACATGTATACTAAAATCAGACCAAAACTGTAGGAGGAGTAGCATTTTGAAAGAATTTCACAGAAATTTCTATTTTTAGTAACCACGGCAACACCGTTCATCAAAATCAAAAACTGATATACAGAATTATGTAAAAAAAAAAAATTAAATCGTTGAAATTTTTAAAAATAATCCAGAAATGCCTTCTTGACGTTAAGAATAACGCTCCGTTGTTTACATTTGCTTGGCAACCGACGTCATGACATCTCGAACCCGAGCTAAAATGCGTTACGAAAAAACACGTAAACGTGATGGAAATAGTGACATAACTGTTTCCGTCGAGGGTTGACATAACTGTTTCCGGCCGGACATAACTGTTTCTGGTGCGACTCGACATTTTTCAGAGTTTATAGCAAAACTTATGTAACGTCCGAGCAATTGTCAGATTTAATTAATTAATCCATTATTTATTGTAGGTAGCAATAATATGTAAAATATAAGTAAACGCTCAATGCGTAATCCAGGTATTTAATCGCCCCCTGCGATTAACTTCCTCCTTGGAAATCAAAAGTCAGTATCGGTTTCAATTTTATTTACACATAATCATAGTTAAGAATCATCCAAAATCATCACAACAAAACACTGTATAATCCATCCTGAAACAATATTCTGAGCGAAGTATATCCCAGCAAAAACTATATCAAAACTGCGTCCCCGTATCGAATAAGTACCCGTATATATACTAAATGACCATCACTCCTAAGGAGTGATGGGGTATAAACAAAGGACCGTCACTCCTAATGAGTGACCGGGTGTAAACAAACTATTCTAAAAATAGAACGAGTGACTGGGGTTACATAAATACTGTAGAATATTAACTTAACAATTAAAATAATAAATTTAGAAAAAGAGTGACTTCAAAATACGTAACAACTTCCCCCGCCTAAGAATTTTGACTCCGCTCAAAGATTATGTACATACAAACATACAACATTTTCAAATGCAAAAATAGTAATGATAATATAAAACGTTCAATTACAGTCAAATATTTACAAGCTGTCATATTTACACAATAAAAAAAAATGGCACAACTGTTCTTGTATCAAGAGTCACTGCATAAAAATCACAAGGTAGAGTTCACGACACGCACGTTACGATTGTTAAAGTGATATGGCACTTCGGTGATAATTTCCATTGCAATGTCAGCAAAGTTCACATTCATTGGGTCCATATTTCTGGAGTGCGCGATGGATGTGTTACGCACGACTTCTGAGGTCCCGTCCGGATACACAGTCTCGGTCTTAATCAGAGTTAACGAAATCACGGTCGTCTCAGAGGTACTTCCGGTTTCGTTAGTAGTGTCCATGTCACTATCCTCTGTCGGCAACGCGGACTCGTATTCTTCATCTTCCATATATTGTTCGTGGTCCTCTCCCCGAAAGTCAAAGTCACTATCCCCGCACAGAAAGTCGTCAACATTTACTGCTGGCTCCTCGCGCATAATATCCTCTAGCAATGACGAACTCACTGATAGGATGTCGCGATTATCCGGGTTAGGGTCAGTCACCATCTTTTCCAACTCTTCTTCGTCTGACGATACGTTCTCGTACTCCAGTTCACATGCTTCTTCAGAAGAAATGTCACTGTGCTGGTCACTAAGCACTGTTACATACACGAGTTTTCTCGACTCGCTCATCACGTCGCGCGTCATCTCTGTCCTGCCACACTTAGTCATTTCAGTCTTAGCCTCCTCCATAGTTAGTCTATGTACATAAAACAAATGTTTTCGTAGATTAAAAAGTCTACCAAAAGGTCGTTGGCAAAAGAAGAATGTTGTTCTTTCTTGTGTACCAAAACAAGTGGATATGATCAGGGCTATTTGATTTCTCGATCAATCCTTGTTTCAGCAACTTTTTAATTTCAGCATCTAATATATATCTCGTTTGAATATAGGAACTCTTCTCACTCGATCTTTAAATGGTCTGTCATCACTTAGGTTGATACGATGTTCTCCTATTCTTGCGCGCTCCGTGGGCATTTTAGGATCCGCAAACACAGATTTACGTCCTAGTAAAAACTTTTTGAATTCCATTGCTTGTTCTTTTGACAGGTTTTCACATCCTTGTTGAAACACCTCAAATAGAAAATCCGGAAGTTCATCCGACACACTTCCGGTTTGCACATTACACACATCATTCCATGGAAATGAATCACAAACACAACTCACTGGTGCTAATAACGCAATTTCGGTATTTGTCTTCACACAAATTTCACTGTTCCCGGGATTAAATACACGCACATACACAACGCCATTTTCTGCGTTCACTAAAGTATGCGCCACAGTCAGTCCATGACTATGAACAAATTGTTTAATCGGCACTAATATTCCTTCTTTGATATTAGTCCTGGAATTCACTTTTGACTTTAACACAGCTTCATGTCTCGGTGGAATAACGCTATTTTCCACAGACACTACCAGGCAGCTTTGTTCGATTTCCTCACTTGAGCTGGCAGTTCCCAAGCTCAAACTTAGGCTATTGTTATCATAATTCCACTGCCCTTGAAATTTTGTCATAAAATCTTGTCCAAGCAAATTACACTGTACGCCTCCCACGAAAACGCGAAAATAGACATTCATATCTCCGAAAGTTAGAATCATTTTTGCAGTTCCAAAGGTTTTTAACTCCCTTCCATCAGCAGTTTTGAATTTCTTACGCACTAGCTCCAATACAGGTCTATCTAATGGAAGAATACTATAATATGCTTCCTCTGTGATAAACGTATTCACCGCACCTGTGTCGATTTTCCAGTCCAACGGAGTGCCTTCCACTAATCCGCTCACTTTCATACCAGATTTCCCGTGGACAATTACCAGATCATCAGTCATTTCACTCTGCACATCCGCTTTAACTCCGAAATCTGTGTGCGTTACAACATCTGTTTGAGTTTCAGAACATGAAACATGACGCTGTAAATTTGCTGTATTAGGCCTGTTTTGTGCGGTGACCGACGCATGGCCTACTGCCTCGGTCGATTCAAGTTTAATCGCTGACTTCCATCTCCGGAATATTTAACACTTCCTGTTCCGGGTTTACCGACATCATGGTTGCCATTGTTTTCAGGAAACCTGTTCTTTGGACAATTTCTCATTAGATGCTGAGACGAGTTACACTTAAAACATCTTTTCACCGTATAGTCGACATTTTTAGTTGATGTTTTGTTACCAACGTACCGTTTGTCAGTTACTGTGTACACCTGTGGTTGGTATTCTTTCTTCACGTGGGGCTTTTTATTTTCAGTAAAGCGTATGCACTCTTCTTGCATAGCAGCTGTAACAGCTTCATCTAAAGTTCTTGGGCGCGTTCGCTTAACTGCAAGGCGGAAGTCGTCATTATCGCTACAGTTATCCAGGAATGTTTTCATTGAACTTTCCATTACATACTCTCTGTTCTCGGGGTAAGCACGACGATACAAGTCCTGAATGGCCTGTCCAAAATCCCGGAATGTTTCTTTGTCCTGTTTCCTGCGTAGCTTAGCTTCAGCTATATAACTCTCCTTAAGCGCTGTATACCCAAATCTCTGATTTAGTGCCTCTTTCAATGACTTGTACTGTCCAAAAGTATTTTCCGGAAGTCCATAAGCAAACGCTTCAGCTTGATCCCTTAAAGTTGTTAAAAGAATGCGTCTCATGCGCTGCTCTGACCACTGATTCAAACTTGCCACATTTTCAAAGTATCGAATGAACTCGCTCCAAATAGTGAATCCATCTCCCTTAAATACTCGTTTCACAGGAATATTAATAATATCCGCTGATTGACTAGAGACTGTAGGTGTGATGTGTGAAAAATCTGTGTTTTCTCTGTTCGTTCTCGGTCGAGTTCGACTTCCGCGCACAGTACTAGATACTGGCTGTCCGGATTCCTCTATGTTGCGTTCTCGGTTGACACATAGTTTCCAAATTACACTTCCTATCATAATGCATCCCAGAATGGATCCTGTCATGAATATGAATTCTCGAGTAATCCAACAAAAAAATTCGCCAGGGGAAAATTTGTAAATCACAGCTATCACTGAAACACACAGTAAACTCACATACATCTAGAATTTTAACAAATTTCGCCATCCCTTAGGATGTTCAACTTCGGGTGTCAATTACACCTCCGTTTCCGGAGTACGTAAATCAAAGTCGGGTGTACGACAAATTGGAGTTTCCGCTTCCTCAAATTCCGTCAACAAATTTCTTCGCACTGAACTTCGCGGGGCCCTAGGAGTCTCCGCACTCCGTATAGTTTCCATATCTAATTTGTGTATTTCAGGTTGTTTAAATAGCAATGTCAATATCACCGCAATGTGCGCCACCAAAACACCGCTCACAAATAAATCCAGTTTGACAAAATAATTACATTATTCACTTCACATTTAATAAAGTTACACGTGAATTTTGATGCGGCAAGCACATGCCGGACATCGGTAGAAATGGCTCACAATCCCCTTACTTTCGATTATCAAACGATGCCGATTTTCTGTTTTGATGAACATATTGTAACAATTCGGGCACTCTTTCCTCAAATCGTATGGTTCAATCCTGATGAGCACTTTATTCCCTGAATCATCATAATCATAAATGTACCTCAGTCTCTGGTTCGAAACGTTTCTAGGTAAATCCATAGTTCACAAATTCACTGAATTATCACAAAAATATATCACACCGGAATTATAATATTCCACTGGAATTATAATATCCCACCGCTGCCACCAGCTGTAACGTCCGAGCAATTGTCAGATTTAATTAATTAATCCATTATTTATTGTAGGTAGCAAAAATATGTAAAATATAAGTAAACGCTCAATGCGTAATCCAGGTATTTAATCGCCCCCTGCGATTAACTTCCTCCTTGGAAATCAAAAGTCAGTATCGGTTTCAATTTTATTTACACATAATCATAGTTAAGAATCATCCAAAATCATCACAACAAAACACTGTATAATCCATCCTGAAACAATATTCTGAGCGAAGTATATCCCAGCAAAAACTATATCAAAACTGCGTCCCCGTATCGAATAAGTACCCGTATATATACTAAATGACCATCACTCCTAAGGAGTGATGGGGTATAAACAAAGGACCGTCACTCCTAATGAGTGACCGGGTGTAAACAAACTATTCTAAAAATAGAACGAGTGACTGGGGTTACATAAATACTGTAGAATATTAACTTAACAATTAAAATAATAAATTTAGAAAAAGAGTGACTTCAAAATACGTAACACTTATTACATTTGTGATATGATAGGAAAACTTATTCAAAAATGTAAAATAACATTCTGTTCCTTAGATGAAACTTAAACAAAAAAGATGTCAGTGATTAAGGATTAATTAAGTATATATAAGGATTTGCAGCATCGTGTATGTTTATGCGTCTGAGGGTGTGTGTGTGTGAGGTGGCATGTGTTGTTGTGTAAAAACGATAAAATAAAATTGTTTTAAAAAGGAGCAATTTGCTCTGATGGTTTTCTTACTGCACCTGCACACACTTGTACGAGACAAAATACAATACTGAATACAAATACCGTAGGTCTTTCAACTAATTTTTCAAGTTGCACATATGGTAAAAACATTGCATAGATAGATTTATAGGTACATGAAATTACCAAAAAAGATAACTCATTCATACTTTTAATTACATCATTAAAAAGTTTTATAAGTTATAATTGACTTAATGTCTTTTCCGATTTTGTGTTTTAAGGACAGGTAACTCATGTCATGAAAAATGACCACTTAGTGCCGATTTATGAGTTATCATTTATAGGAATGACATATAGGGTGCTTCAGTTTTGGTATTGTTATGTACGCAAAAGGGTTCCTTACATTGTTTTGTACACTAAAGTTTTGACCAAGAGAATGCCTTCACTCTACCTGAAATAACAGGGTCAATGAATGGGGAACAGACTACATTCAATATTTTAACTCTCTTGGACGATTATTATGAAGAAGAAAATTCAATGTCATGTTTTTTATGGTCGCGCTTTTGCGCTTCCTATATAAATATATATATAATTTTTAGAAGTTTTTAAAAGACTTAGGTTATCGTAATTCCACAAAGTCAGACGGAAATACTGTTTTATTTATTGAAGGAGAAAACTACTTTGACAAAAACAAAATCGCAAACAATTTTAACATATTTTTCACTACAATTGCTTCAAAAATTCTTGAGAAACTACCTTCACCAAAAGGAGTATATAAAACTACATCAAGTTTTTTTAAAGGAAGTTTTATGATAACAGAAAGAAAACCACTGAGCCTTTTGTACTGAAACATGTGTCAGAAGATTTTATATATAAAGAATTATGTCATCTTATACCTAGCAGGAGTACTGGTCTCGATGGTATACCTGCAAACTTTTTAAAAGATGCAGCACCTATTATTTAACTTCCTGTTACTTTTTTGATAAACTTGTCTATCACAGAAGGCATTGTACCTGATGATTTTAAGATTACACGAGTTAAACCACTTTTTGAAAAGGGTGATAGAAAACTTAGAAAATTATAGACCAGTTAGTATACTTAGCATTGTTTCTAAAATCCTTGAAAAAGCTGTATACACACAGGTAGAAAATTATTTGGCTGTAAATAATATTTTATATGAATTACAATCCGGTTTTAGAAGTTCATTTTCCACAGATAGCTGTCTTCTACATTTAACAGACTACATAAAAGGTAAAACAGCCAAAGCATTGATACAGTTGATCATGATAT